GTTTCACAAAACGCAATTAACCATTTTTAATGGTGATTTTGAAATTGATTAGAGAAGGGGGGGTCTGAACAGAAATACAAAGAAGGGGGAACTATGTGAAGAGATCTCATATCTTTGGGTGGTTTGGTCAAGAGGTGAAGAGTATAGGTGGGAATAAGTAGGGTGATGATGTTTAGAGGGGGTTTTATGCAGTCATCCCTTGTAAATTCTCATATGTTAGATCATGCTTACGGATATTTTTGGTGTTATTTTTGGTGTTATTAATAGATGACAGTTATTTAAGGAGAAAATGCGTAAAAAAACTCACAAGTTTTTTTCAAAAGATAATTACTAATTAATAAAAATAAATCAAATAAAAATTCAAAAATTAAATAAAGATCATAAAACTAAATAAAAATTTAAAAAACTTAATAAAATTTGAATTTAACTAATCATTAAAATTCGAAGTTATCTAAAAACATATTGTGTAAATAACATATATGATTATATTTTGTATATGATCATTTTAGATGATATATTGTTTGAATTTCAAAAACAAAACAAAGATAATATATAGTTGTCGATATAACAATTTAACATATGTAACAATTTTATTTTTTTAAAATATTAAATAAATTGATAAACAGTGTATGAGATTATATTTATTTATTTAAATGAAACACTTTTTAAAATAAAATAAGTTAAATTTACTAATTTAATTTAATTATATTTAATTGATACGGTACTTCTGTGTTAATATACTATAGACTATAGTTATAAAAATTATAAAATAGCATGTATTTTTATAGTAAATTTTAGCTAATATTAACTTATAATACAGATACAGTTATATTACTAATTATGAAATAAATTAATGTAATAATTTATTAAAATATTTAATATTTTAGTAAATTTGCTAGACTTTTTTCTTAATAGATTTATTATAAATGTGATCAAAAAGAGATTTTTTTATAAATAAAATAACATTTAAATTTATAGTTAAAATTTATTTATTATTAATATGCTTAAAATTATTAAGCTTTTTTAAAAAAATGTTATATATTTGATTGTAGGGCTGGGCAAATAAACTGAACTCGAAAACCCAAATCGAACCCGATCTAATAAAAAGAAATCCGAACCGATCCAACCTGACATAAATACCGAATGGATCTTGTTTAATGGTATTTCAGGTAATGGATATTATCCGAACCGAACCTGAACCTAAATGGATATCCGATAGAACCCGAAACATTTAAATCTCAAAAAAGAACTTGTACCAAATATGATCTCAATTCCTAATATGTATCCAAAATACTTTAAGATATTATTGAATATTTAAAATAATTATCTATTACATAAAGATTGATGGTTGAAGTGGTGGTTAAAGCTTGAAGTTTTTAGATTTTGATTTTTTTTTCATTGAATAATGTTTCTCATTTCATGAGAACTTAATTTCATTTTATGCTTTCATTTATTTGGTTTTATTCTATTAAATAACTATATTTATTTTTCGTTTGATTTTGTATGATAACATTTGATGTTTTTTTTTATTTTTAAATCAATTTCACTTTTGTAAACTAGGTAAAACTCAGATTTTTTTAAATCAGAAGAAACGATTTTACTTATATTTTTGTTACAAAGTAGATACAGTTAGGTACTTTTAGATCAAAGAGTTGATTGAGACCCGACCCAAAAGTATAATGGGTTATATCGGTTCTTTGAAGATTTACGAACTCTGACATGAACCCGATAGAATCCAAACCAGTCTCGAACCGGACTTTCATATAATCCGAATGAGACTGTTTTTTTTCAACCCAAAAACCGAGATCTGATTGGACAAAATCGCAACATGTTTGGGACCCCGAATGCCAAAGACCTATTTGATTGATTAATGTAAATAATCGAACAATTCATATTAAGTAACTAATTTGGTACTACTATAAATTTTCTACAGTAATATGTAGTGACCCTATTTTATAAGAACTAGGTGTTTCTCTGCACCATGTGCAATATTGAAACTTAAATTACAAATTATTACCTTCTTACCAAAATTTTAAATCAACTTGTATAAAACTAATATAAAAGTTGTATAATTTTAACAGAGTACAATTAAACATTATTTCTAAAAATTTTAAATATATAAAAGAACTCAATAATATATGCTTTAAAATTTCTAATTTTATAATAATAAAAAAATTTAAAAAAATATTTTATTTATAAAATTGAATAATCATAAAAATAACTATTATTTCAGTTTTTTGCAATCTATTATTCTTATGTTTCTTTATTATATTATTTAATATTAATTTTGAATATTATTATTATAATGATGACTTATCAATGATGTATAATTTAATACAAAAAATTTACCAAAATTATAAATATTCATTAAATATAATTATTCATGTCATATTAGCCATGTCATCTTTTTAGTATGCTATGTCATATTAATTTAGTGAAAGTGATTATAAAGAAGACATGTGCTAAAATAATTTTGCAAATAATGTATAAGGGATGAACTCACTGGCAGATAGTCTAGCACGCAGTGCCAGGAAACAATCTTCATTTATCTTTCATATGGATGCAAAGCTACCAGTTTTGTTCGCCGAGTCTACATGATTCTGTTTGTTTGATGACAAAAAAAAATAATGTATAAGGGATAGAATATATATTATAATTATAAAATTTATAAAATAGCATATTCTTTTTTATTTTTTATTTTAAATATAAAAATTAATTAATTCCATGAATTTTTTTATAACTCTTGACCAATAAGCCAAAAAAATTCCACTCATAACTAGATAGCAAATCAAGAAAACCCTATTCTATTTTTAATTATATATATATATATATAAGAATTTCTGTAAATAATAATGTTGGGAATTTAAAATTTTATTAATTTATATCGATATTAATTTACAAAAAACATTATTTATATTTCTTATTTTAAGATATATTAATTCTAAGATAAGTAACAGATTTATTTTTAATGTATATACATTAATTATTATTTTTGAAGTTTGATATTTAAATTTATTTTATTATATTATTGGTGTATATAATATTACTAAATCTCATCAAAAATATATTAAGTATTAAATTCATATAAAATAATTATGTTGTGAATATAAATAAACAATATAATGATAGGTTTTTACTTATATAAAATATGTAGATATATAAATTATTAATTTATAATTTAAATGGGATCATATCTTTACGTAATTTTTAACAAAAAAAAATATTATCATATTATTATTTTTATTTGTGTCAAATTTTGAACCAA